CTGGATTTGATTCTTTTTTAAAAAAACTTTTCCATATTGTTTATTTTTAAATATTATTTTATTTTTCTCAATCATATGTCAAGACAATTTTTATCATTCATTTTTGCAAGATTTTGAATTCCAAATTTTACTCCCTCCTTTCCTCCCCAACTCTTCCTAAATGGTAAGCAATTTGATTTAGTTTATACATGTGTTATCATGTAAAACATTTCCATATTAGTCACAGTTGTGAAAGAAGAAACAGCTCCAAAAGAAAATAACCACGAAAAAGAATAAAGTAACTGAAAAAAGTATACTTCAATCTGCATTCAGAGTCCATCAATTCTTTATCTGGATGTGGTTAGCATTTTCCTTCATGAGTCCTTTGTACTTGTCTTGGATCATTGTGTTGCTGAGAAGAGCTGAATCTTTCTAAGTTGATCATCACACAATATTGCTGATACTGTGTACAATGTTTTCCTGATTTTGCTCATTTTACTTTGCATCAGTTCATACAAGTCTTTCCAGGGTTTTTTGAAATCTGTCCATTCATCCTTTCTTATTGCACAAAAGTATTCCATTACATTCATATGGCATAGCTTGTTCAGCCATTCCCAAACTGATGAGCATCCCATCAGTTTCCAACATTTTGCCGCCATGAAAAGGGCTACTATAAATATTTTTGCACATGTAGGTCCTTTTCTCTTTTTTATTACCTTGTTGGGATACAGAGCTAGGAGTGGTATTGCTGGATCAAAGGGTATGCACAGTTTGGTTGCCCTTTGGGCATAGTTCCAAATTGCCCTCCAGAATGGTTGGATCAGTTCACAACTCCATTGCATTTGCGCACGATTCTCCCACACGATCTCTAAAATTTATCATTTTTCTTTTTTGACATATTAGCCAATCTGATAGGTGTGGTGGTACCTCAGAGTTGTTTTAATTTGCATTTCTCTAATCAAAAGTGCTTTAGCACTTCTTCATATCCCTATAAATAGCTTTGATTTCTTCATCTGAAAACTGCCTATTCATAGCCTTTAATCATTTATCAATTGGGGAATGGCTTGTATTTTTATAAATTTGATTCAGTTCTCTATATATTTGAGAAACAAAACCTTTATCAGAGACACTGGCTGTAAAAATTGTTTCCCAGCTTTCAGTTTTCCTTTTAATCTTGGTTGCAATGGTTTTATTTTTTATAAAATCTTTCTATTTTAATATAATCAAAATCACCTATTTTACATTTAATAATGCCTGTAACTCACTTAACTTCTCCTTTAAGAATCTGGATGCTATACCACTTGGTGTATACATGTTTAGTATTAACATTGGTTCACTGTCTGTGGTACCTTTTAGCAAGATGTACTTTCTTTCCTTATCTTTTAAAATTAGTTCTATTTTTGCTTTTGCTTTGTCTGAGAATCAGAATTGCTACCCTTGCTTTTTTTAGTTCAGCTCAAGCACAGTGAATTCTGCTTCAGTCCCTTACCTTTACTCTGTGTGTGTCTTTCTGCTTCAAGTGTGTTTTTTGTAAACAACATATTGTAGGATTCTGGTTTTTGATTTACTCTGCTATCTGCTTCCATTTTATGGGAGAATTCATCTCATTCACATTCACAGTTATGATTATTGACTGTGTATTTCCCTTCATCCTATTTTTCCTCCTGTCTGTCCTCTCTCTCCTTTAATTCTTTCCCTCCTCAGCACTGTTTTCTTTCTGTCTACTGCCTTCCTCAGCCTGCCCTCTTGTCTGTCAGTCCTTCTCTCTCCTTCTCCTCCGCCCTTAATTAATCTCTTCCTCTTCTGCTTTCCTGTCGGGTAAGATAGATTTCTATATTCAACTGATTATGTATATTATTCCCTCTTTGAGCCAATACTGATGAGAGTAAGATTCAAGTGATGCCCATAGCCACCTCCCCCCATCTTTTCCCTCCACTGGAATAGGTTTTTCGCAGCTCTTCATGTGGAATAATATACCCCATTCTACCTCTCCCTTCCTTCTGTACCTAGAGTACTCCTCTTTCTCATCCCTTAATTTTTATGTCATTCCTTCAACTTCACCTTATACTTGTAACTTCTCTCTCTATATATATATTCCTTCTAGCTGCACTATGAGTAGTACAATTTTTAACAAATATCATGTAGGGATATAAACATTTCAGCTCCATTGAATCTCTTTTGTTTTCTTTTCCTTTTTCCCTTTTTTAGGCTTCTCTTGGATCTTGATATTGGAGATCAAATATTTTGTCCAATTCTGGTCTTCTTATGAAAGTTTGAAATCCTTCTATTTCATTTAATGACCGTTTTCCCCCTTTGAAGTATTATGCTTAATTTTGTTGGGTAGGTGATTCTCATGTTCCATGACCTCTTATCCTTTAATGTTGCAGCTGCTCAGTCCTGTGTAATCCTGATTGTGGCTCCTCGATATTTGAATTGTTTCTTTCTGGACACTGGCAGTAATTTTTCCTTGACCTGAGAGTTCTGTAATTTGGGTATAATGTTCTTTGGAGTTTTTATTTTGGGATCTCTTTCAGGAGGTGATTGGTTGATTCTTTTGATGCCTATTTTGCCCTCTAGTTCCAGGATATCAGGGCAGCTTTCCTTGATAATTCCTTGAAAGATGCTGTTCAGGTCCTCCTTTTGATCATGGCTTTCGGGTAGTCCAATGATTCTGACATTGTCCCTCCTGGATCTATTTCCAGGTCAGTTATTTTTCCCATGAGGTATTTTACATTTTCTTCTATTTTTTCATCCTTTTGAATTTGTTCGATTGATTCGTGATATCATTAGTGTCACAGAGTCATTAGCTTCCACTTGCCCAATTTTAGCTTTTAAGGAGTTGTTTTCTTCAGTTAGCTTTTGTACTTCCCTTTCCATCTGGCCAAGTGTATTCTTTAAGAAGTTCAATTTTTCTTAATCTCTATCCACTTCATAGCACATTGTCTCTGATTCTTATAACTACCCTGTGAAGTAAGTACTACAGATATTATCATTACTTCTTTACAGATGAGGAAACTGAGGCAGAAAATGGTTAAGAAATGTATTAATGTCTCACAGCTAGTAATGGTGTGGCATTTAATTAAATGGCATTTAAACCCCGATCTCTCTTGTGAGTTCAGATCTCTTATCCCACACAATATCCAGCACAGCATTAGGCTGTCAATAAAGATTTGTTCATCTTATCTTTCAACATCTTGTCATATACACTCTGGGGTCACCTTAGTTCAACCCCTATCACCTCTTATCTTGATTATTGCAGCAGCCTCTTAGTTTGTTTCCCTGCCTTCAGTCTTTCCCCATTCTAGTTCATCCTAAATACTGCTGCCAAAGTATTTTGCCTTAGTCCCACATCTGACCAGATCATTTCCCTACCTAATCAACTCCAGTGGCTCCCTATTACCTCTAGGATAAAATACAAATTCCTCTCCTTAGCTTGCAAGGCCCTGCACAACCAGGTCCCCACCTTTCTTTCCAGCCTTACTGCACATTACTCATCCTCTCCTAAGAGATCCAGCCAAACTGGCCTTCTTGGTGTGCCTCATACAAGACACTCCATCTCCCATCTCTGTAGCTTTGCACTGGCCACCTCCCATACCTGGAATGCATTTCTTCCTTACTTCTATATCATAGGGCCTCTCTCTTCTTTTAAGATGTAGCTCGGTCACCATCTTCTGCATGAAGCCTTTGCTGATCTTCCTCAACTTTTAGTGCCCTCCCTTCTAACTACTTTGTATTTAAGTACTTTGTATATATTTGCACTTGTTAACTTTATGCCGTATATAGTTTTATATGTGCTTCTGTCCTGCCCATTGGAATATAAGCTCATTTTGAATAGGACTGTTTTATTCTTTGCATGTGTATCCCCAGCTTCTAGCACAGTGATGGACATATAACTGATATTTAATAAATGCTTGTTGATTGATTGACAGGAATAAGGGGTCACTGACCTATATCAGTGCTGCCAGAATCACAAGAGAGTCTCCCTTAGTCCTGCCACTGCTATAGCAGGAAGGGCTGGAGCCGGGACTTACTCTGTAGCTTCCTTTCCATGGCATTTGGGAACCACTTGCAAGAGGCAAACCTTGGTTGAAGGAATCACATGGGCCAGTGATCATCTGGACAGTGGTTTGGTGCTGAGGCAGTTGACTTACTATATAAAAAGTTGTTCCCAACAACATCAGTGAAGCCTAGAGGTAGATAAGGCATCACCTGCAGGCAGTAAGATGATTTAGAGGCAGACAAAAAAACAATGGCCTGTCAGAGGTGGGGAACTTGCAGCTTCAATGCCACATGTGGCCTTCTAGGTCCTCAAGTGCAGCCCTTTGACTGAATCCAAACTTCACAGGACAAATCCCCCTAATAAAAGGATTTGTTCTGTAAAAGTTGGACTCAGTCAAAAGTCTTCACCCAAGAAAGACCTACATGATTCTCCAATGCCTTAAAGAAGACTCACTTATGAGTACTTTATCTAAGGGCTTGTGAAAACTGGAAGTTTCTTCAACTTCTGATTTGTTACTGAGTTTACAGATGGCTCAGTAAAAATGAACTTAGCCGAAAGTGGAAGGTATTTGAGTAGTTATTTCCAACTTTTTTTTTCATGTTATGTCCTGGAAAATGTTGGTAATTGGGATTTCCCCCAAAGCTCCAGCCAGGGAATTTCCATGTTTTCTTTTCTTTTTTTTTTTCTGTAATAATGATAATAACTACTCACCTTTTTATTGTGATCTATTTAATTGAGCATTTTTTCCCCCACAAGAACCCTTCAAGGTAGGTCATGTGAGTATTGTAATCCTTCTTGAAGACATGAAGACACTGAGGACCAGAGAAGTGAAGAGATTTGCCCAAGGTCATGGGGCTAAAAGGAGATAGAGTTCATACTCAAACCTATGACTTCTCAGTCCAAGCTCAGTGGACTCAGGTACACTCCAGAACATTGCCTTCCCTGTTTTGGAGAGCTCAGGATCCTTTAGGGGAACTACTGGGGGTGCAGAACAAGGAATCAAAATGCAGGAAACAGGAAGTGCTTTAGCAAGAATGGTTTATTGACTCTGCCCAAGTTAATAACAAAGTGAAAACACTGCTTTGTGGAAAAATGTGATACTATTAACTCCATAAAAGGTGGTCCTTTCTCCCCTGCCAAACCTCTGTTAATGGCTGTTGCCACAGAGAAAAATGACATTTGTTTACTCCTTTGGGTTGCTGACTATAGCTGTGGTTGAAAAGGAATATGGACTCAGTTGGGCAGCAATGGTGTAATGACGATGACCAGCATCATTGGCGGTGAACACCACCTGGAAGGCAAAGTAACCACCATTAGAATTAGTGCCTGGACAGTGAATAATATGGAGGGTCAATTCAAAGTTTCTCTGGCAGGAACTTTCAAGCAGGTTTCCTCTTCCCTCATAATTTGCTCACTCTTTCACAATGTGAGGAATTTTCCTAACAAGAAGAGCAGTGCTAGAAAATGAAATGAAGTAATGAAGATCCTGTCTATAGAGTTTGTGAAGGAGAAAGTGGGGGGAGGGGGGAGAAAACCTCTGTTGCTAGATGTGTTATGGATTCATGTTGCAAGTATGAACTGGATAATGGGGCCTCTGAGGTCCTTTCTGATTCTGCCATTCTGCGATTGATAGACAAATTCCCTGGGTGGGCTGGCTTTTGCAGAAAGTGGTGGTATCATTTTTTTTTTGTTAAAACAGTTTGGAAGGGTTTGAACAAGGAATGGAAATCCAAATATTTTATTGACTTAAGCTACTGACCTTATGTTCCCTCCTTAGAGAAAAGAAAAACAGTTCCTCCCCAATACAAAGAAGAAAAAAAGAGACATAGTTTTTGTTTTCAGGGACTTTGTAGTTTGCTATATATATTAATACTAACAAAACTTAGAATTAAATAAGTGTCTTTATCTGTTCTCTCCTCTCTCTGTCCCCAACTTTTTCTTTAATAGAGATGTGGAAGAAGCCTATTTTAGACATGGGAACCACTGTGGGCCCAAATGAATAGAGACAGAAGACTACACGGGGTGGCACAGTGTGATTTGTATGGGGAAAGGGTGAAATAAAGCTGGAAAAGTAGCACGGAACCAGATTTGGGAGGTCTTTGAATGCCAGAATCAGAAGTTTGTATTTTATCGCATATTCAGAAGGGAGTCACCAAAGGCTTTTTAGGTAGGAAGAAAAGTCTCATAGTCAAAACAATGCCTTAGGAAGATTATGTTTTCAGATATATGAAGGATATATTAGAGAGGAGAGAGACTAATGGCTCTGAGACCAACTGGGATGTTATAACAATAATCCAGAGCCCCAAACTAGGGCAGTGACTGTGGCAATGGAAAAGAGGAGACAAATATAAGAGATAATGCAGATGGAGGAGGAGGAATGGGGAATGATGAGAGAGGAAATAAGAGTCAACATTGGGGCCAGGGTGAGAAATTCTAGAAGGCTTTCTCAGTAGAAATAGGAGGAGTGGAAGAGGGGGACAGGTTTTTATTTATTTTTTTTGGCAATTGGGGTTAAGTGACTTGCCCAGGGTCACACAGCTAGTAAGTGTCAAGTGCTTGGTCTGAGGCTGGATTTGAACTCAGGTACTCCTGGTTTCAGGGCCAGTGCTCTATCCACTGCGCCCCAGGGACAGGTTTAGAGGAGAGGATGATGAGTTCCATTTTGCACATGTTGAGTTAGAGGTATCCAAGTGGAGATGTCTAGCAGACAGTTGGAGAGGTAGGTCTGGAATTTAGGGAAAACATTGGATTTAACCTTGACCAAGACAGTGTAGGAATTTCTTCATGGGGACAAAGGAGACAAAGAGGAGAAGAAGGAGAAGAAGGAGAGGAAGAGGAGGAAGAGGAAGAAGAGGAGGAAGAGGAAGAAGAGTGAGAGAAATAGAGAGAAAAACCTTTCCTATATTGATTCTCTAGTAGTTTTGCAGACAAAGGACAAGGGAGCTTTGGGAGCAAGGGTGGTGGTAGTCCTATAACCAACTACTCTATGCGCTGCTGAGGGTGGGGACCTTGAACTACTTTTATAACTGGTTTTATTATCGAACTGAAGAACAAATATTTATTATACACACACAAAAACTGTGATATAGAATAGAAATAAAAACATCTTAGGTGCCACTGACTGCTACAAATAGGAAATAGAAATTCTGAAATCAAATACATCTGAATCAAGGTAAAATAATGCAATTCTACTTGGTCAAGTTAGTTAGTCAAAATTTTATTTCTCATGACTACTCCATCAGAGGACCCAAACTAGGATTGTCTTGCTGACTCAAGGAAATACTTTATAGGCCTGACTGACTATAGGGCAAATTTGGTACTTTCTAGACATCTGTTTTCAAAGGTGAACCACAAATGGACTTTCTTTCCCTAGATGAATTCAGAAGTATACATAGTACTTCACCCTTTATTGTCTGAATCAAAAAGAGAAACCCCGCATTCCATTATACTCACATCTGCATACTCATGGAATGGGGAAACACCAAGGGCTTTCCAATAGGAGATAGTGTCAAATTCCACCTTGTATAAACCCTCTCCAAATTTGTCATCACTTGTGAGTTCATGGATCTCTCCATTGTCATTGGTTTTCCTGGACAACATGAAAGTGAATGTTAGATAGTGTATGGCTCTACAGGCATTAAGGAGATAATTAGCAAGATGACATGAACACTGGTAAAATATAATTATGTACATAATATAACCCAAACTACATTTCTGCTATTTAATTTCAGTCACTTCACTGGGGTTGTTTCAACAAGGGCACCAGATGTTTATGAGGCGTATAACAAAAAAAAACCCTCATTATTTCTAGTCTAGAATATTATTTTCATTTGTGTTGGAGGTGGAGAAAATATTCATGCATATTCATGCAGGAGTCCCCAGTGCTTTGCAGGGGAGTAAGTACTTAATCAATGTTTGTTGAATAGCATTATATAAAGTGAGCGGATTGGATTAGATGATCTCTGAGGCCCCTTCTAGCTCTAAATCCTACGAGATGGATTGAATAATTCAGTCTCCAAATGCAGTTCTCACACTGAGATTGCACTTTCCTCTCACATGCATGAGCTTTTTTACAGTTCAGGGAGATTTAGATGTGCAAGGAGATACCTAAGTACAAAAAAAAAAAAGACAGAAAGCTGATCCCTTTATTTGCTTAATCTCCCCAGTTACTGATCTACAATTGGATTTTGTCTAGTTTTTGTTGTTTCCTAAAGGTAAAGTGCAAGATCAAGCCAATACATCACGTGAGCAAAGGATTCACAGGTTGCAAGAAACCGAAGGACGTGGAAAGTGGCCGTGTTCTTGATAGCTTTGCCTCTTCTCTTTAGTCCTTTCTTTGATTGTTTTAATCTTTCTTCTAATATAGAAAGAATAACTCAAATTGGATGGATTATTTTCTTTTCCTTGACAAGTCATTTTCATACCAAGCATCTGAATTCTCTGTAGAATGGCATCACCTGCTTAGAATACTCCATTGGCCTACTTTTCAAGTTCTACTTGGCATTTGTGTAGACAAAAATGAACAAACAAATACAAATTCAATTAAAATCCTCTCAAGAAAATAGACTTCCTAATGATGGGTGAAGAATCATATGTGGCTATTACAGATTCAATTAAACCACAAAAGTACTCTTTCCAAGAGGCATAAATACAAAACAGCTTCTCTTCTTCCATTCAGTTCTGTAAGGCTAGGTTGGCTGCTCTGTCTTTAGACAGAGGTTTATTTAGGTTTATGAATAGGTGCAGAGATTTCTGTGAAAAGCTTCAAGGGCAGGGATGCCTTGGTGAGTAGGATTTAGAACTCACTTTTATATTGAATGGCAGGCGTTACCTGGAAGTGGATTATAGAATCATAGATTCAGAGCTGGAAGGAATCTTAGAGGTCATCGAATCCAATCCCCTCATTTTACAGATGAGTAAACTGAAGTCCAGAGAGATTAAGTGATTGCCCAGGCCACATATTTACCTAGGTCTCAGGTGGGATTTGAGCCTGTGTCTCTAACAGGTTTTTGAGGTATCAAATTGAGCACTAGCTCGAGAGTTGAGACTTGAAATTTAGTCCTGGCTCAGCTGCTTACTAGCAGTATGAGCTTGAATAAGAAATTTCATCTCTCTGGGTCTTATCTGCAAAATGGGGATTAAAAACATTTACATGACCCACCTCCAAAGGTGGCTATGAGGAGTAAAAGAGATAATGTCTATAAAGCTTTTTGTGAAGTGTAAAGAGCTCTATTCTTCTTTGGAATATCTGGGATTTCACAAATGTGGATACTCCCTCCACTGATTTAAATCACAATTCTTCTATGCCTGAGTAATAGACTTCATGAGATGTTTGTGGCCAATCTTCTGATGATCTTTCTATATAGGATTTACAATTTTTGAGGGCAGGGATAGTTTCATCTTTGTGGCCCCAGTGCCTAGTAGGCTTGGTACACTAGATACTTAATAAATATTTGTTCATTGATTGAACCCCTCTGAAATGACCTAGGCTGGTCTTCAGATGACAGGCATATAATACAGTGCATCATTGGACCTGAACTAATACCCTCTCTGACTTGGTGGGACCTGCTGGAATTTTGTTCTCTGCTGACCATATGATTGGAGAACCCAGGATTGACTCCGTACTAAAAAAAAATGAGCAAGCATTCATCCCAAAGTGATGCCTCTGTCCCCTTTACAAGTGTTTGCTGTTAGATGCATGAAATGATAGCATTTTTTTCCCCCTACCTGATGTCTCACTCTTTGACAAATGGTAGAGGAGCAACTGGAAAAATTAATAACCAGAGCCCACATTTACATAATGGATGTAAATCATTTTTGCAAAGAGCAGGTGCTTGTCACTTACCCAGCTGCAAAGAGCTCCCAAGTTTGCTCCTCAGTTTTTTTGAACACTTTCACATCCACATTGGCTGCTGGTCTTCCTCGGACTGCATCGAGAACTTTAACCATCAGAGGGCACTTGGAATCCTCACCTCCATGGATCTGTAGAAGGCAACAGAAAAAACTCAGTGAGGTGTTGGAAACCTGAAGTGAGTTAGGCAAATGTGTGCTTTCCTACTTCTTAGTAGTATCTAAAATGAGTTTTGAGTCCCATTGGAAGGCTGTTTCTCAGGTATGACTAGCTTTTGCCCTGGGCTATCTTGCTGCTTCAGCAGTACCTACAAAGCTCTTAGAGATGCTGAACAAATTAAGCCCATTCATCTAGATTGCATTCCCAGTCAAATCTGTGGTAGGAGTTGCCCCAGAAAGTACTGGATAATTGAATTATTTAAATGGAGCAGCTGGGTGGTGTAATGGATATTGATGGACTTGAAGCAGGGAAGCCCTGAGTTTGAAGCCCACCTCAAACACTTACTAGCTGTGTGACCCTGGGCAGGTCACTTAACTGCTCCCAGCCTCAGCTTCCTCATCTGTACAATGGGTATTATACTGGCACCTACCTCACAGAATTATTGCAAGGATCAAATGAGATAATATAAGCAAAGAGCTGGTAAATGTTAAAGTGCCATGTAGGTGATGATGATGATTTTGGTGGTGATGACAATAATGATGCCTCTATAGTAACTTTAGAATTAATGGCATGCACTTTTTAAACATTGGATAATGATAGTTATCTAACACTTAAAAGTTTTTAAAAGTATTTTACTTATGTTCTCTCATTTGATGCTCGCAGTAACACATAAAGTAGGTGTCACTGTTAATTCCATTTTGCAGATAAGAAAATTGAGGACAAATGAGGTTAAATGACTTACCCAGGGTCACACAGCTAGGGTCTGAGGCAGGGTATGAACTCAGGTCTCCCCAGTATGCAATCTTCCTTCTCAGGTAATTTTTACAGTAGATGAAAGAATTAGGTAAGTATATGATTGAAACTTTATCCCTTCTGAATCAAGAGTCTTCAAAGGTTCAATAAGAATAACACAGAATCACAAAATCTCCAAGTCGGAAGCAACCTCAGGGACCATGAAGTCCAATCTGTACTTGAGTGAGACTCCCTTCTACAATATACCTGACGAGGGCCATCCAGGATTCATTTAAAAACTCCAGTGAGACAGAGTCCCCTCCAGCTCTAACACAGCTCAGTCTACTTTGGGACTGCTTTAAATTTTTAGAAGTTCTATTGCCTTCTGGGCCAGGGAGACTTGTTATGTAGGCAAAGGATTGCAGTATAGTCTCGCCTACATTTGTTCCATGCAGAAATTTCACAAAGGCCAGGTCCCCTGGAAAACTAGCATTCATTCCACTCCCATTCCCATTATTCATTGACAATTACTGAGGCACCAACTGCTGCAAGAAGCAGTAAGAACACAGCGGAGAATAGTAACTCCGTGCTCAATTCAGTTGATGTTTGATGGAACTTAACCCTCTCTGGGGGTTACTTCAATTTAATTGCATTTTAAAAGATTTAAAAGATTAAAAGGCCATTAATTACAAAAATTTTAAAAAATTAACTTAGCCAGAAAAAAGCCATGTCTACCTTGTCCACTGTGGATATGAAAGGCTTACCACAAATGGATGATTTTCAGTAACCAAACTCACCACAGGTGCAGCTTCAGACACAAACACCAGTCCAGCAAGGCAAAGGAGCAGGAAGGAATGAAAAGCCATTTTGCTGGTAATGAACAAATCTCTGTGCCAACTTCTCCCAGCTTGGGGCTTTTATACCTCAGTCCTTTGAGTTAAGCCGCTTATCCTCGCCTAAAGGACCTCAAATCTGCTGATTCTGATTATTTACCTAGTCAACAGTAAGAGAATAAGTAACTCACTCAAATATGAACCTTGTCTGGAGAGATTAGGCTGTCAGAACATTCTCTCTGTGGAAAATTGCTAGGATTCATTTTGTTGTAATAAAAGAATCCATTTTCATTGGAATGCCATTGGAGATTGGATTATGTCAGAGTTATTGGATTATATTGGAATATCATTGGATAAATAACATTGGATATATTTGCATGGAATATCATTCTTAGCAGATTAAAAGATTCAAAGGGTTTAGAGTTGGAAAGGAATCTGTAGATCATCAACTCTAGCTTTTTCATTTAACAGATGAGGAAACTGAGGCCAAGGAAGGTTTGGCCAAGGTTATGCAGGTAATAAGTGGCACAGTTACTACCTTAAGTGTAACCTAGGATTCAGACCCAAGACAATTCAGATACATAAACTGTGCAACCCTGGGTAAGTCACTTAAGTTTTCTGTACCTCAGTTTCATCAGTAAAACAGTGGGCGTGGGCTTGACGATCTCTGAGTTTTCTTTTATCTTTAACTGTGTGATCCTGTGATTCCATGACCTCTAACTTCAGATTCAAGGCTCCTCCTCTCAGATCATGGTCTCGGTTTGTTCCTTTCATAGCCCTCTGCGTATTCCCATGTTTCTCTCACTCTTTGTCCATTTTAGTAGGAAGATGTAATATACAGACGAATTCTTTTGCCCTTCAACCACAGTGTTCATCTCTCTGTGCTAAAATGGACTGCACTAAAACACATCACACGCCTTGATCTATGATAATGAGCTTGCAGAGAAAACCACCCCACCTTCCTACAACAGCACCTGAATGTAAAAAGGTTTGGTTTTAGCCAAATTATTTCACCAGGATGCTTTGCATTGTCTGTATTTTCTCTCCCAATGTTTTTGTACTTCCCACACAAAGACTACCTAAGCCTGAGGTAAAATGTCTCATGCCTCACCAGAATTGGTAAGAATGAGCAGCTGAAGCAGCCAGAGTCAGTGACCATCCAGCATCTTCTCTCCCCTGGCACATTCAGCCCCAACCTGACCAGCTGCCTTCTGTCAGAATCAGAATTGCAGGGGTGTGATCAGACAGCTGTTAGAACTGGAGGCAGTGATTACCATAACATTATGTTCATCCTGACAGCCTTGCAAGCCCAGGAATTGAAATCATCTGATAGCATTTATCAAGTGCCAACCCGTGTGTGATGCTGTATTAAGTGCTATACCGAGCAATTGAGAGAGAGCTTGTCCCCAGTGGAGACACTGACATAGGCAAATATTGTCAAGGACACAGAGCAGATGAAAAATACCCAACAAATATTTGACCAGGGGATGGACATTTTGGAGCCAGTCCATTGTTAAATTTTCTATGTGAGCATTTACACCTCAGATATTGGCAAGAGCTTGACTTATTATTTCGTTGATTGTCCAGACTTAAGAAAGTATTAACAATGCAAATCCAACTTAAAAGTGTGTATGCATATATTCCCTCTTCCCTGCAATTGCTTTTTACAGGCAGCTAGGTAGCATAATCAATAGAGTGCTGGGCCTGGAGTCAGGAAGACCTGAGTTCAAATTCAGCCTCAGATACTTCCTAGCTTTGTGACCCTGGGCAAGTCACTTAACTTCTGTCTGCCTCAGTTTCTTCAACCATAAAATAGGGACCATAATAACACCTCCCACACAGGGTTGTTGTGAGGATCAAATGAAAAAAAACATTTGTAAAAGCTTAGCATAGTGTGGCACTACATAAGTGCCTTTTCCTTTCCCCTTCCCCTCTCTAAAGGTGGTTATTAAACATTTATGAACACATCCCTGTATTGCTCTATAAACACTATTTGAATACAGTAGTAGAAGAATCAGGGAATGGAGTCATCACAATTCCAGGCTAATTATATAATAGCAGTAATAATGATAACCAGCATTTATATAGCACTTTAAGGTTTGCAAAGTTCATTACATCCATTTCTCATGAGCCTTACAATACCTCTGGGTAAGAGCCATCAGAAGCCCAATATCCAATAAGGGGAGGCCTAGAGGAAGTCCTCGTCTTTCCTTTGATCAGTGGAGAGTTATCACACAAATGGAAGGGAACTCAGAGGCACAACATTGAGTTCAATCACGTAGTTATACTTCCTCATTTTACAAATAAGGAAACTAGGGCTCACAGAGACCACATGGACAGAACGTAACAGAGCCAGTGTTCAAAACTTTGACACAAACTCCATCATTCTAGAAAGAGTCAAAGACGGAGAAAACTAAGCAGTTCTACCAAATTTGTGCTTAGTTTGGGTTGACAATAGTATATTCAGTTTGATGTGGTTTGGAGATAGAATATTAGGTGGAGTATTATTCAAGATAAACAAATCTGCCTCTTATCTGCTTGGTGAAATTCATGGCACTGTGGCAGGAGCTGTGGAGATGGCCTTGGAGATGGGCCAGGAGGGCTAGAGACGTCCTGGGTGAATGGAAGCAGTCCTAATGAGGTCTCCAGATGCAGGGAATGTTTGAGGGGGCAGAGAGCGAGTGCTTTAAAGTCAATTTTCAAATTTTTTTTCCAGCTATGTGTCACTGTCTTCTGGTTTTGAAGGCATCCCTACTGATAGGGTTACACCTTGTCTGGGTAACTGAGATGAAAAAGACCATTAACACTTCTGTAGTTCTCTTGTTATTCCAGTTGATTAGTGAGTGTTGCTGGGATACTCAGCTGTTTGAGGACTCATCCAACCCTGTGACTCGTAATAAACAGGTTCATTTCTTGTCACAGAGAAAATATTAGCACCTACCACAGTAAGGATCAAATGAGAACATATGGAAAGCACTTTCCATACCTGGAAGCATTATGTAAATGCTAGTTATTATTCCTAAATTATTATCTGACATGATGAGAGTGAATATCTCCAACCTTTGGTCAAGCACGAGTTACCACTAATGTCTTCTTTCACTCTTGTTAGAGGTCGGCTGTTAGAGCCAGAGAGGTCAACTGTTCAGCTAGATCACTCTGACCAGTTAGGTCAAACACATAGGGAATATGGGTCAGAGGTGAGACTTGAACTCAGGTGTTCTTGACTCTGGCTTTTTATCCACTACCTCATGATACCTGAAAAAATATAATCTTAGGCGGCGTAATGTCCACAAGAAAAAGAGGGATAAGCTCTTTGTCTGCCTTTGTTAGATCATATCTGGGATACTTTGTTCAATTGGATGACACATTTGAGGAAGGCCATAACCAAATTGGAGTGCAGCTGTAGGAGGCCAAGTAGATGAAAGAATTGGAGGCCAATGACGCCATGTGAAGATTGGGTGATGGAACTGTAGGGGTTTAGTCTGGAGACTTCTAATGCGATTGATAGTTCTCTTTAAGTGTTTGAAAAGCTCATGTGGAAGAACCCCAGAGGGCAGAACAAGTAACAGTGGGTGGGAACTGCAGAAAAAGAGATTTCACTTTCATGTTATGAACATTTTCCTAGCAATTAGAACCACCCAGAAATGGAATGTGCTGTCTCAAGAGGTGGTGGGCTCCTTGCCACAAGAAGTCTCTAAGCAAAGGCTGAATGGACACTTTGGGTTGTTATAGAGAGAATCCTTAGGTATAGGTTTGAGTAGATGAATGCTGGGGTCCCTGCCAACTCTGAGCCATTCGTGATTCTGTGCACATAAGATTGAAAATAGATTTAAGAAATACTATTTTCCTATCTTTCACTCATATCTTTTGTGGAGGAAGCCTGAGTGCTTTTGGCTCAATTTGCATCATCACATGTGTTAAATCTGAAATCCTTGCACATTAATCATTTGTCAAACTGCATTGAGAAAGGGTGACAAGGGAACATTTATCTCCGGCCCACAGCAAATTACCAGCATTGGTGTTTCTTGACCTCCTGATGTCTACCTATAGAAAAGTGCCAACGGAATTTCTCCAAGTATGTCTGAAAATTGGTGAATAGAATCTAAATCATGTGTATAATCAATGAAACCATGAAGGATGAAGAATGACTCAGTGGAACTGCCTCTTCAGAAATCTTAGCTGATATGAGTTTGACATATAATCCTTCATGTGGTTCAAAGCATTGGCTTTGTAGAGGCCCAGGATGTACTCCAGCAGAGCAGGGATGCTCATGGCACAACTGACCCTACCTGCCTCCATGACTCTTATCCCTGGAATATATTTGTCATGTATAGAGTCACTTAATAGTATGTAAATTTGCAATGTCTAATATGTTGGAGAGTTGTGCATTTTTAATTGTCATTTGTGTGCAATGTGTCTTTTTAGTTATACTATAATTTAAAATAATAATAATAATAGTGACAGCTAGATTTGTGCACTTTATGGTTCACAGAGCACTTTATAAATATTAACTCCTTTTGTTCTCACAACAACCTTGAAAGGAAGGTGCTAATATTATCTCCATTTTATAACTGGGGAAACTGAGGCAAACAGAGTTTAAGTGACTTGTCTAGTGTCACACATCTAGTTAGTGGCTGAAGCAGGATTTGAACACAGGTCTTCCTGACTCCAGGTTCAGCACTCGATATCCCCTGCTGTCTAGTTTTCATACTGGAATATTAAATGCTGATTAGGGTTGGTCTGGTGGATGGTGGGAAGCTAAGTCCTGCCATGGACTCAAGAATAATTGTGTAATAAAGAGCTTTGTCCCATTTTGAAGGAATTTTAGGCAGGTGAGAGGTTCCTAGGATGGAAGGACCTTCCCTTTGTTGCCTATGAAATCACACTAAACTTGCAAGACTCACCTTGAATGTCAGTCTTATTTCATTCTTTTAAAGTTTTCATTCTCTTTCCCTAAACATTTCTCTGGGAAGAAGAGTGAAGGCTGGCCTAGCATTGACTGCTGGAGGCCCCCTACTTTATGAGCTGCTAAGAGGGAAGGCTATATCCTGTTATCACTGCTTCTGTCCAGATAAA